TCTCTCTCTCTCTCTCCCTCTCTCTCTCCCTCCCTCCCTCCCTCTCCAAATAGTACAAAAGTTATTTCATGACTCAATTTCTCTCACCACATGACCCAGAAAACAACATCACGTAAATTTTCCACTTGGGGCAGTGACCCAACAGTAAGTCCTACCCACCAGTGCAGACAAAACAATAACAAGCAGATAAACAATGACATACTATGATCGAGGAATTCGAAGTTCATGACACGAAGGAAAGAATCTAGGGTTGGACTTTGCCCCCTCTCAGTTGAAGGTCGAAGATAACAGATGTTGCCGAGTCAGTAAAAATAGGAGAAAGTTCTCATACTACTGGTTCTTGAAGGTAAAAATACAACCACCAAACAAACAAAAAAAGCACATTGCTTTGGATTTGGACATTCAGCTGACAAGAGACCACCAACTTTTTGGCAATATCTTTTTCCACAACTGGAAATTTTTTCTGCCTTGCTCAGATAACCGTGTTAAGTACACTACTGGTTGTGTCATATCAAATCTCAAATGAGTCGGGAAGAGAGAAAAAAAAGTAATAAAACCAAAAACCAAGGTTAACTGACCTTGGACAAAGGCTTTCCTTCCAGTTTTGTTTTGTTTTTGGTTTTGTTTTGTTTTTTTGTTGTTGTTTTTTGGGGGGGGCCTTTCTATGCCACCACCCCCCACACACACATACACACACATACACACACATACACACACATACACACACATATACACACATACACACACACACACACACATACACACACATACATTCCACACAATCTGGATCTCTAAGGAGTCAGGTGGCTTCGGCCCTTGGCCCTGTCTGGGTAGGTGATACTGCACCCCAGCAGACAGAAGGGGGTACTTGACATCATTTCTTGTTTCATGTTTTAGTAAGAGTTTTACGGCACTTGCAACACAATTAGGTCACAGAAGTGCCAAAGATTAGGTGTTACAAGGGAGTAACAAACACAAAAAAAAGGAAGAAGAGAGATAAGAACGATAATTGTTTGATAGGAAATAAGAAGGAGCGAACCACAACACAGCACCTGCCAAACACCCACGATAAAAAAAAGTCTTCCCCTTCTGAGAATCAAAACTCACGCCTTCTGCAGTCAACAGCAAAGAGTGAAACCATTATTTTATTTTTATTTAGTAGAGGGTTTTACGGCGCTCGCAACTGCATAAGGTCATATGAGCGCCAAGGGGTGGATGTCAACAGAGAAGTCCTTACAGGGAATCAGACTTACACTGCTCACCTCTCTAGCATCAACAGCACAAGGTCTGCTTCGACTATCAAGGCACCCCGGAAATAGCAGGTCACAAGAGAGTGACAAACATACAAAAGAAGTAGAGGAAAATGACAATAGTAAGGATTAGGAAAGAAAAGGCAGCGGTTTCCTGTTGCAGATCAGGCACAGTTATGAGCGTGACATGATGAATCAGCCCATTTACAATTCTACTGTGCTTGAAGGAGAAATGTCCCCCCCTTTGGGAATGGCCTAAATACACTATAGTCAGTGGCACTGCCCCGGGGGGTGAAGCCATTACACAACAGACACCAAGATTGGACAGGTAAAGAGAGACAAGAACAATGTGGAATAACTAATCTACTCTTTAGTTTGTTTTGTTTTAGTAGAGGGTTTACATTAGGAAAGAAAAAGCAGCAGTTCCCTGTTGCAGTTCAGGTACAGTTATGAGCATGACATTGATGAATCAGCCCATTATTTACAATTCCAATTCTACTCTACATATGAACTCAAGATGTTAACGTCCTCCCCCCCCCTGGGAATGGCCTAAAGACACTTCAGTCAGTAGCATCGCCCCGGGGGGTTAATCTACTCCTCGATAGTTTTTCCTAACAGTGGAATAATAACAGCTCCTCCATCAATGTCTGACAATGACCAACAGTAGGATAAAGAACCGTCCTAAATTCAGCTCAGCAACAAAGGAAATTGAAGGGGACGACAAGTACCCATTAAAATTTAACTTGTTTTACAAATGGACATTTGAGGAGTGGGTAGAATGACCCGACCACAGACATTTGAGGAGAGCGTAGATTAGTAGAATAACTCGACCACCCAAACAAATGAGTAATGACATAAAGATTATTGCCTCATGATGCTAATGTAATGTGCCCCGTTCCCAAAGATAGCTGCTCTATGCTAATGTGCTGACCTCCCAAAGACTGTTGTTTTATGCTAATGCACCGAGTTCCCACGGCCTCATTTCACCGTCCCCGAGTGATGTTGGCGGGCACATCAACATACTGACGAGGACAGTTCATGGTTTCAGGTAAGCTAATAAAAGATGGTGGGGGCATACTGGTGATGGTGGTGGTGGTGGGG